ATATCCTATTTGTCTCACTAGATATTTTTTCTATTTCTCACTAGAAATTTTACATTTTTGTTTTTTTAAGATATGATGTTTTTCTCTGTAACGCAGGCTGGAGTATAGTGGCACAGTCATAGCTCACTGTAGCCTCAAATTCCTGGGCTTAAGCAATTCTCCTTCCTTAGACTCCCAAAGTGCTGGGATTACAGACATGAGCCACTATGCCTCACCCAGAAATGTAAAAATCTTTCAAATGTGCAATCAATTATTTCATGAAGCTATTTTATATTTTCATATAAAGAACATGCCAGAATCAATAAATTGATTGATTTCTAATCAATTTATTTTCTTTTATGAAAGGTCACTATGCTTATGTACATAAATGTATATGTGTATTATGAATCAAATTTATCTGAAATCCTCCTATGTAGAATAAATTATGAACTTTTGGATGACATGCATATTTTTCCCATTCTCTTTAATACTTTGGGCAGAATTTTCATCTAAGTAAAGTTGATTTTGCTTTTTTGTGGTCATTGTTGTTTCTATTTTTATTTACATAGATGCTAAGTTTTAAGCTTTTGAATAGTGTGTCTGTCTGATATATCATTTCTTCCAAGAGTCTCCCCAAGGGCACTATAAATCTGCAATGAGAAGGAAGTATGGGCAAGTGAATAAGAAAAATGTTCAGGAAAGAATCCTTGCTAAAGATTGCACACAATTGAATATTTCACCCTTAAATTATTCTCATCATGTGATTTCCAAAGGATCGCTCATTAGATTTTCACTTGCCTTGATGACCTTAATTAGACTTATTCCAGATTTACGAGAACTGTAAAATTAGAAAACTTTCATTAAAAAAAAATTAAAACCCCCTGGATGGTTCTCCAAAGCACATGCAGCATTACTTAAGACTATGATTTTCAGCTAGTTGGATATGTCATATCTACAGCTCTAGCCAGGTCTGTAAGAATTCTGTGACTGAGGCCTAATGGAACCAATTTTCACTCTGGCAGAACAAATTCAAGTTCTAATACTAACTTGAATTCCAGTTTCCTTTAGATGCCAGGAATCAGATCCTTTAAGAGGAAATAGTATCAGCGCCTCTGCCTATTAAGTGATATTCCATATATTTCATCTAAATAGCTAGCATGAACAATCGACTCAAATCAAATCTAAGACAGAAAACAAATGATTTTTTAATTACTGAAATTGTTTTATTATTATTTTAAAATACTAGTCAAGTGCAATTGTTCTGTTGGTGGTGGTGGGTTTTTTTGTTTTTGGTTGTTTAGCCTTCTTTCCCTTTTTTCCTTTCAGGGCCTCAATTTTCTGCAGACTTCACCTATCTTGACTGTGGACACTTCTTCAAACAGGAACCAATGCATTCACTTACCTACACTAACAATCATATTACAGTCACAGGCCATTAACTGTCACTCACATTTTTATTACCCTGCATCTGATGAACACTGATACACTTGAGCATCTTCCTCTGTACTGGAAAAAATAATAATAATTTAGATAGAATTCTAAAAGTTAGCATGTTTTGTCAATAGCTTCATTGTTCCTCATGCCCATTCATCACATTTGCTTGCTATTGAAATCCTCCCTTGCTTTGTAACATTATTAAAGTCAGTCATTATTAAAGTAGTCTCAAAAAGAGATACCTCTGCAACTTCTAAGATGTTGTCAACCAGGAGTCATATTTTCAATACTTCAAATTCTATTGCATTTTCAAGCTTCAGAAACAAATATAATATTCTTGCATATTTTCTAAGATGAAATTTTATGTAGACAATGATGTGATGGAAAAGATGATGCTTATCTAATGATTTTGGCATTGCCCCTTGATAACTACGACACTGAGAAAACCAGCATTGATTTTCCTGTTATCAGAACAAATTACAGTGCGTGTTCTGGAGTCCTACATGTCTTACATTGAGAGAGAAAAATCACTGGGAAAAAAAAAGTTATTAGTTATATTTTTATTCATCTAGTTTCACTAATATATCTTTAAAGTACAGATTTTTTATAACAATCACATATGGATGGGTGTAGTGGCTCATGCCTGTAATCCCAACACTTTGGGAGGCCGAGGCGGGTGGATCACAAGATCAGGAGTTCAAGACCAGCCTGGCCAATATGGTGAAACCCCATCTCTACTAAAAAGACAAAAAAATTAGCCAGGCGTGGTGGCGTGTGCCTATAGTCCCACCTACGCAGGAGGCTGAGGCAGAATTGCTTGAACCCAGAAGGTGGAGGTTGCAGTGAGCCAAGATTGTGCCACTGCACTCCAGCCTGGACAACAGAGTGAGATTCTGTCTCAAAACAACAACAAAAATCACATATTTTTTTACAAGACCAACTTAAAGGATTCTTCTATTGCTTTAGTTTTGTTTTTCATGAAATCTAGATTTAATTCAAGTTTCATGAAAAGGCAAAAAAAAAAAAAAAAACAATTCCACAGTTCCTAATTTTCTAACCCTTCCTTCAGTAGGCATTGCAGATCATTTGAACCAGATAGTTTAAACTTTTGACGGTGCAGCTAAGTGAATAAGCATCTATCCATAGAATGCATGCACTGTTACATCATTTTCAGTTAAATATAAAATCATTTTGCCAAAATATGACCACAAATGCGAAGCTGCTATTCTGAACATTTGGAACAACTATAGCTCATTTTTCATTATGTGTTGATGTTTTGGTATAAAAATACTGAGGCTGGGCGTGGTGGCTCATGCCTGTAATCCAAGCATTTTGGAGGCCAAGGGGGACGGATCACTTGACGTCGGGAGTTCAAGACTAGCCTGACCAACATGGTGAAATCCCGTCTTTAAAAATATATATATATATATGCTGTTTAAGCAGTTCATGAATACCCTTTTCCATTTAATCACAAAGAAATACACTCGGTGTGAACATTATTATTTTATTGGTTACCAAAAATCCTTGGCAAAGTGCATGCAAGGTGAAGAACGAAAGTCAGTCCTTGACAATTTCCCGACTTCAATGAAAACCTAAGACATGGGCCTAGATTTACACATTACACATTAAGAAAAAGTC